TCACACCCTAACGTCATAACACGCATGTTTTTAGACAATGCGCAATAATGGCTTTCTCACCACTGTTTTCCTCTCGGAATTCGTACAAATTTTGCTAGTGTTGACTATTCACAAGAGAGTTTCTCGCGAAGTCTCCTCATGAAATGGCGGTTCCCATGCCCGAATTCTCACAGCAGTGGTTTTGCGGCATTTACCGTGATCCTTTGCAGCGCCCCTTTGAATCATTGGGGGAACGTTCGTTGCGCGCGCCCGTCGAAATTAGGTCACCCCACCCACTTCGCAAATGATTTATATTTGTCCATGTTATCTTCTCTTCGAATTGATTGCCTTGGGCCGAGCGCAATTCGTATGCCCCAGTGACAACTGCGACGTTCTTCAAAGATCGCAGGCTTATACACCGCGGGCAACAACTGCGGCGTATCCTAGCTTCGACGGACGCGCGCAACGAAGCGCACCCGAATTACTGACAGCTAGAGCGCAGAGGCGGGGTAGCCGACTTTACTGATTCATGGAAATGCTTTTTAGCCAAAAGAATAATTTTCTACCTAACTTCAAGAAGGGAGGGAGGTAATAAGTGGGCACCGCGGCACTCTGCTTGTCTGGCGCTCTCTCCAGCGAGATAGTACTGGGCCTGATCGTTGGAGAGCGCGCCATAGCGCCGGGGGAACTCCGGGGTGGGTGAGATAGTTATCTCGTGGAAAAAGCTGATGGTGAGATGAGATAAAAATTGAGCGTCCAATTGGCTCACCAACCCCGGAGCTCGTCCCCTCGCTAAAATTACTTAAAAAATACACAGGTTTAAGAAAAAGAGCTATGAAGCGTTCCCAAGCAACATTGGGGGCTCGGCTACTCTCACTTCTCTGCGCTCTAGCCGTCAGTGATTCAAGGGGCGTTGTCCCCCCTCCCCTCCCCCTTCTCCTCCTCCAACTACATTTTTACCGGTAAATCCACATGTTCGAGGAGGAAGGATCTAAGGGATGGGGTAGAATAAGCAGCAGTACGCCGCTTCTATTCTTCCGTTTTGAAACCCACTCTCCAGTGCGCGTACCTCACAGGGTGACAAATTCGAAAAAGTCTACAGGAAAACTGATGGAACGAGGCACAGAAACGAAGATTCAGTACGGGCACTCGGCTGTGTCGGATTACTGTAAGAGCCGAGTGCCGTACTGAATTTTTGTTTCTGTGGAGCGATTTCCTGCTCGTCCACGTCCTCCCCTTGAGTATGCGTTTGGTTGAGTTTAACTGCTAGCGGTGTGCCGATGCTCTCGGTTGTTTCGGGAATGGAATAAAGAACTCAATGGCGTAGACTTGATATATGTGCGTTTTGGTCCTTATGTGTCGTACGGTGAATTCTGTATAGAATCGTACCCTGAACACTATCCTGTAAACTACTGAAGAAGCACAATGGAGAAGCTGTACTAACACCTCAATCAATGGATACGGCGATTCTCACCTCAACATTCCGGGGAAGGAACTTCTTCATGAAGTGTCGTCTTAGAGGGCAGACATGCTGTTCAGGATTCACACTATAGCGGTAGATGGCACCGTATTAGGATTTGACTTGCTCCTTCAGCTATTCTAATCACTTGTCATGAGCACATTCAATGATCCGTAACTAGTTGGGGATGAGCAATAACAGCTTTTTTCAAGCACGGCTCACCCTAAGTCTGGCTATTTTGTCTTTCTTCTTATCCCATCAGGTTATCGTACCTGCTTCCTTTTTCAATAGAAAGCCGACGGGCATTGGTACGGCAGGAATGGCAAACCGTTGCATGCGGAAAGGGATTATTGATTTGCGCACTTGACATCGCTGCGCGTTTGATCTGCGCCAACGCCGTCGCGGTGTCTCTATTCGACTCTATCCCGAAACAGGAGGGCAGAAGCAAAAACAGGAGAATAGGTGTGGTCTAGTTTAATGCATTGATTTTGAGAGGACTTCTAATCACTTTCCTTCGGTCTGGTTTATCAACAAGAGCAGGCCAATAAGGTATTTCTTATATGCATGTGTAGTCCCAGGGCAGTTAAAGCAATTCAGTCAAGTTGTTGCAGCTGCACCTCAGGCCTTATTCCTTTCCATTTACCGATAGAAGCAATGAAAGGTCAGACAAATAGCCTATCATTTGATAAGTATGGAAGCTATGTAGAGAGCCGGTATTGTTCATTTTCCATAGTTTGCTAGTCAATGAAGGTTTGCTCACGTTAAGAGAGTAGAATGGCCGATGATGATCGAGTATGCTCGTTCTTCTTCCACAACCTCAAGATTCTCACTCACTGCGTGTTTTTTTTGTAGTAAAGTTCCTGAACAGCATCCTTCCTGAGTTGTGTGGACACTGATTGAGACTCCCTTTTCAGTCATATGTACCAGAAATTGTCATATTCATTATTGGGTTGTTATTCTCAATTCTTGCCCATTGCGTTGCTTGGATAATTTACTACACAGTAACCAAGGTACGATTCTTCACCGTAAGGTTTCTTACAAAATATTATGACCCAAGAGAGCTTAATGAATTAATCGGTGGTGAGATATGGTTCCATCAGTCGGGTCGCCCGGCTTACGCCAAGCCTCATTGCTTACAGAAACGAAAATTCAGTCCGGCACTCGGCTCTTACAGAAACCCCCTGACTTACCCCACCACCCAACCCTATGTCATTACCCCAAGCCCCTTTTCAACGCGTCGTATATGTGACGGGTAAAAATTTGCGAATGCGTAAACTTGCCGGATTACTGTAAGAGCCGAGTGCCGGACTGAAGTTTCGTTCCTTTCCATTGCTTACCTTCACAAAGTAGTTAGCAAACGTAGTTATGTGGGAGGCATCTCTTTTATTCAACACTGCGGACTTGATTGAAGAGAAGGATGGGTAGCCGACCTTCCCCGTGCTTCGAGTCGGTTCAGGGCGAAAGGATATAGTTTCTACCTAAGATATAGGAGGGGAGGAGCGGTGCGGTTAGAATGAGGTGATTACCCTGTACAAAAAGGTAGGATGGGGTATGATTCAAACATTCTATTGGTTTACCCACCCTAGTGCTTTTCTCTTCCTTCAAAAAATTATATTCCCGGCTAAGAACGTGCCTGTGCACAATAATGGGCTAACCTCCTTATTTGCGTTCTAGCGCTCAATGTTGAAAAAAAGCGGAGTACTCCTAACTACATTATCATCTCCGGTTTTTGTACAGACATATGTACATAGCACGATGCCAGTACAGGTCGAAATCACATTATTAAAGTGCTCCCTTCACTCCACATTACTCTCTTCACTCCGCAGTGCTTACTCTATTCTAATGACCAAGTAACTGCTTTATATGTAAGAAGAAAATGTTGAATAGAGCTGGTTGTCCATATCACTATCTTTATCGTAATCACAAAGTTTTGCGGACGGACAGACCGACAAACCTATTGACCGGCACACAAGTTTCCGCTTCATCATAAGAGAGATAGGCTTCCTAATTAGACGAAGCTTCTGTGCTCAAGAAGTATAAATTGTGTGGGTTCTCCCTGTACGAGATAAAGCCACAAATTGCCAGTATGTGTAGAATGCCCGTGTCGCGCCGGCGTCATCGTCCTGCCGAGTGCTTGCCGCATCAGTGGTTCGCTCGCGAAGATGACTCAGGCGGCGACGACTCTCCCTCTACCACGCAGACTTGGTAGGCCTAGGTGTCTCGGTGTACATGCCAACCCTTGCGAGATAGTACTGTCGCCGCAGCACACTGGGGCGTCGAGCCCGCTTAGCGAAAAGTTTTATCTAGAACTAAGTGTTGGATGTGTGGTCCACCTTGGACCTGCGCCCACATTCAAACCATGTGCACCGGACAGCATTACCATACACTTAGAGACGCTGAACACATATAGTTATCATATAAGTCTATGTGATGAATGTGAATATAAGAAAAATAAAGGATAAAAGGATAAAGTTTTTGGCGTTAACCAATCCCGTCTGAGGGATGCGCCCCCGCACTCGACTTCCATTCAGAATCGTAGTGGCGTCCTGAGTGCGTATGTGGCCTATGCAATGACTTGCGGTGGCCAGCCGATGTACAAGTCAGTGCTTCTATCCTCCCAGACGAGTCTGGTACCAATTCACCGACCCCGGAAGGATGGAAGGCTTGGTTGGCCT